GTGAAGGAGGGGGAGAGTAAGTGAAGGAGGGGGGAGTAACAGAAGGAGGAGGAGGGGGAGAGTAAGTGAAGGAGGGGGGAGTAAGTGAAGGAGGGGGGAGTAACAGAAGGAGGAGGAGGGGGAATAATAAGAAGAAGGGGGTATGAAAAACGGGGGGTAAGAAGAACAAGGGGGGAGTAAGAAAAACACAAGGAGGAGGGGGAGAGTAAGAGTGAGGAGAAGGGGAGATGAGGAGAAGGGGGGACTGAGAAGAACACAGGGAGGGTGGGTTGTGAGGAGAAGGGGAGATGAGGAGAAAGGGGGATTGAGAAGAACACAGGGAGGGTGGGTGGTGAGGAGAACACAGGGAGGGGAAGGTGAGGAGGACACAGGGAGGAGAGGGGGTAAGAAGAACACAGGAAGGGGGGAGTTGAGGAGAACACAGGGAGGGGGGAGGTGAGAAGATCACATGGAGGGTGGATGAGAAGAGCACAGGGAGGGTGGGTGAGTGTGAGAAGAGACCGCTAGGGGAGGGTGGGGGAGAGGAGAGACCACTAAGGGGGCAGGGGAGAGCTAGAAGGGACAGCTCTATAGGACAGGGGGCAAGACAGGGAGCTCTTTCACACTACGCACACACACACAATGCATCCCTATACATACACAGAAACACACAATGCATCCCTACACACACAGAAACACAACATGCTTCCCTTACACACAGAGAAACACACAATGCATCCATTACACACACACAATGCAACCCTTACACACAAAGACAATGCATCCTTTGCACACATACAAGAAACACACAGTGCAAACCCTTACACACACACACTGCTTTTCTTACATACACACAGAAACACAATGCATCACTAACACACACTCAATGCACACACTTACAAACACACACCTTGTATCCCTTATGCATACAAACACAGATTCACACAATGCATCCCTTACACACAACCAGAAACACACAATACATCCCTTATACACAAATACACACTGCTTCCACTACACACAAACACACTGCATCACCTGCACAAACTGGTATCCCTATACACTACATACCATAAGCACACATATTAGATCCTCTACAATAACACATAACACATCCCCTACACACTCCACTCCCTGTGAGCGAACTCATGGGTGGGTGGAACATATAAGTGGACTTATGAGTGGGCCTTGTGGGCATACTCACCGTCAGGCCCTGGGGCCCAGACCTTGAGCTGTGTAAGGGGCCCCCAAAAAATGGAGCTGCTTCCAATTCTCCCAGAACATTGAATTTTGTGACCACAGTTGCAAACAGCCTCCAGAGATCCTGTTCTACACCAGACCAGTGGAGCCAAACTGCAGCCCATCATCATCCTCATCTGGTTGTAAGTAGGCAATCTAGTATATTATTAATGACACTAATCTATAATTTTCATTACATTAAAGGGACACTATAGTCCCCAGAATGACTGGAGCTTAATGAAGTGGTTCTGGTATCTATAGGCGGTCCCTGCAGGCTTTTTAATGTAAACACACACTGTGGGCAGCACTGGCGTTAGTTCGTATGGCAGCTCATATAGGTGGGGCATTGTGATGTCACATGGGGGGCGGGAAATACAGCTGTTCCCCATGCAGCCACAGGTGCCACTGTGCTGAGAGATTGTGATTACTCTTCACTTCCTCCCAGCTTACAGAGCAGCGCATGGGAGAGAGAGGGGAGGAGGCATGATTTAATCTTACAACAAATCCAGTAAGCAAATCTTTATAAATTTGGGTGGGATCAGCTCTGTTTGCACAGTTTATTGGTGTTTACTCTGATGTCTGTATTAATATTGAGGGATTTCTAAGTAGTAAGCCGTTGGGGTGTGCACGCTGTGCGGTCACGCAGGGTGCCATCACAACAGAGGCGCCCGGCGGACAACACAGCTCACAAGTTGGGGACACCAGCCTATTCAATTCAAACGATTCGTTGGTGGTCCACTGGTATGCACCAGCAGTAGGTGCAGTCAGATTATAGCATCTCCCTCGTGGTTCCGGCGCTCAGTTAGTGAGTCAGAGCACACGCTCAGAGATTCTCAGCCTGCGCTTTGACAACATTGAAAGTCAGAGCCGTGAAGGAGCGGGTATGGCAAAGAGCTAGTGATTAGCATAACATCAATATCCGTTATAAAACCAGGAAAAGGTGGGCACCATTGCACTGATTTGGTGGTGCAATGGGCCACTTGACTGATTTTGCCCCCCAGGCCTAAGGCTGCCAGCCCTCCCCTGTTCATGAATGTGGTAATCTCACTTCAAAAATACCACCATATATTTTATTATATGACAATGGATACTTATGAGTGGGGGCTGACAGTTTACAATCTCACAGTATTTTGAAATATGATGATCAGTATCTACTCTAATATTGGAACCTTTAAACATCATCTCTTTTAGACATCTCATGTTCTTTACTAATCAATACACATAGACATCGTCTGCAATCTAAAATAATATGCAGTCCTCCTATGTATAATGTATCTTTTATCCTAGAATAGGAGCTTTGCATTTATTTAAATAGAAGGAAAGTTACTCTGGATGTCTCCAGAGCCCCAGGGGTTAACTAGACTCTGATAATCAGGCGGTTTCACCGTCCAAGGTCTATATTAAACTCTGAGGGGTTAATCTGGTCCTGCAGGTGGTCTCAGTGCAAGTGATGCACTTTCTGACTACTTCACGCCTACTTAATAGGATGTGAGTAAAGTGTAGTCCCCTTCCACCATGACGTTGCGGCACCGAATTGGCCATATGACGCACCTTTAAAATATTCAGCAGTCTCCCCAGTAGTCAACGCTCTTGAGAAAGGCGCAGCATAGCGCCGAAACGTGTGTCGACTTTAGACGCTGCCATTAGGCTTTTTCTTTTTTTACAATTTTCTAAGGACATCTATGTAGTCTGTTTAACTTGTACTTCCGACCTGCCTCTATGCGGCTAGTTTGTTGCAGTGTTAGGTTAGGGAGTCAGAATATGGTTTAAACAAGGATTTTCTGTGATTGGGTAGTTTTATTATCCTATATCTAGCAAGTGTAGAGGGTGTTACCTAGGAATAATCTTTTGTAGTATCATACTTGGGAAATGGCATGCTTTGGTCTTGGTGGGACGATCACGTTCACATAGTACTGGAATTTCATTGAAGGGTTATTTAAAGGGATTTTCTGCTTGTTCTACCATCAACTCTAAATTCCTTCCTTTCCGCTAGAACTTTACTAAAGGACTATTTAAAGAGAGTCTCTGTCTTTCAAGCCCTTAACCCTTAGTTCCTAGCTTCTGAGCACTGAATCTTGAATTCCTAAAGCTAAGGAAGGATGCTCTATACTTTCCAATTCCTGGGTTAATGCACAGGGTAGGAATTTCTTTATAATACCCCGTCCGTTTATCATTATAAAGCTATCTGCTCCCACCTTTAGACATACTGAAACTGCTTCAATGGAGACTGTTAGATTGGGTGTATACAAACACCTGTTTGCAACACATTGATACGAGTAGTTATATATTTTAATCTCCAAAAATACTTCACAAAGTGTATCTAATTAGTTATACGAGCAGTTTTATATTTGGATACCTCTACAGTAGCCATTTATAAGATACAAGAGGCAGATTATCATAGATTTTTTACCTTTATTTATGTCGTTAGCATGGTTTCATCACTTATTTATTTGGCATTATGTTTGTGTATAGTCTAATGTATAGTATTGAAGAAAGGTATTGATATTCATTCATTTTTAACCTCTTTATTGAGTTGTTACTCTTCTTGTGGGTAAAACCTTTGGCGGCTTTTTGAGGAACGATATCCGTGTGTCTCTAGCATTCGGATTCCTGCTCCCAATATATCCATTCAAGGTATCTTTTTTCTCTCTAATTATTTGGGTTATGTCCACTTTACCTGCTTCGTCCCCTTTTTTGACTTTAAGGCCAGACTGTCCTGTCCTTAGAGTCTTTGTGGTTTTTGTTCTATAATACAAACTAGTGATATCCCTGGGTCTGTATTACACACTAGTGATATTCTCGAGTCTATAATACACACTAGTAATATTCTCGAGTCTATAATCCAGTAATCCCTTTTATATGTAGATATAGACTAGGTATAGATAAAAATGTGCACTCACATGTTATGGAGCCGTAGATATGGCTCCAAAGATAGCATGTCAAGTGGTATGATCCCCACTCAAGGATATTATTATTATTATGATATTTATAGAGCGCCGTCAAATTCCGCAGCGCTTTACAATGGGTGGACGAACAGACATGTAGTTGTAACCAGACAAGTTGGACACACAGGAACAGAGGGGTTGAGGGCCCTGCTCAATGAGCTTACATGCTAGAGGGAGTGGGGTAAAATGACACAAAAAGGTAAGGATAGTATTAGACTAGTGACAGTTGCAGAAGAGGAATCAGTCAGGAGCTATTAACAGTTTAATTGATACGCTTTTATGAAGAAGTGGGTTTTTAACGATTTTTTGAAGGAGTGGAGACTGGGTGAGCATCTAACGGAGGAGGGAAGCGAGTTCCACAGGAACAGTGCAGCCCTCGAGAAATCTTGAAGGCGAGCATCAGAGGTGGGAGTACGGACAGAAGATAGACGTACGTCTTCAGCAGATCGTAAGGGCCTAGACGGGACAAACTTGTGTATAAGGGAGGATAGATAGGTATGTAGTTATTTGAAAGCAAGAACCAGAATTTTAAATTGAGTTCTATATTTTATAGGAAGCCAATGTAGGGATTGACAGAAGGGTGAGGCATGGGAGGTGCGTGCGGACAGGAAGATGAGCCTCGCCGCAGCATTCATTATGGACTGTAATGGCGCTAGCTGGGAGCACGTAAGACCATTGAGAAGCGGATTACAGTAGTCAAGGTGAGAAAGGACAGTGGAATGGACCAACACCTTAGTCGCATCTGGCGTTAAGTAGGGGCGGATGCGCGCAATGTTTTTTAGATGGAAATGACAGGATTTGGCAATAGATTGAACATGAGGCTTGAAGGAGAGGTCGGAGTCAAAGAGAACACCTAGGCAGCGAGCCTGCGTGGTGGAGCTGATGGTAGCACCGTTGACTTGGAGGGAGACAGACACAGGAGTAACAACACTTGAGGGAGGAAAGACCAAAATTTCAGTTTTGGTCAAGTTTAGTTTAAGGAAGTGGGCAGCCATCCAGTTAGAAACAGCAGAGAGGCAGTCAGAGACACTAGTCAAGAGGGACGGGGAGAGATCAGGAGAGGACAGGTAGATTTGCGTGTCATCTGCATAGAAATGATATTGGAAGCCAAAGGAGCTAATGAGATTACCAAGGGAGGCAGTATAGATTGAGAACAGTCGGGGACCAAGGACTGAACCTTGGGGGACACCAACAGAGAGGAGTTGGGGAGAAGAAGCAGAGCCAGAGAAAGAAACACTGAAAGAGCATTGAGTGGTAGGAGGAGCACCAGGAGAGAGCAATATCTTGTAGACCGATATTGCGGAGGATGAGATGAAGCTGTTGCTGATCAATAGTGCCAAAAGCCACAGAAAGGTTAAGGAGAATTAGGATAGAGTAGTGACCACAAGATTTTGCAGCGAGTAGCTCATTGGATACATTGGACAGTGCCGTTTCCACAGAGTGCTTAGCACGGAAACCAGACTGAAGCGAGTCTAGCAGAGAGTTGGACTCGAGGAAGTCTGTCAATCTCGCATACACAATATTTTCAAGGATCTTGGATGCAAAAGGCAGTAGCGAGATAGGACGATAGTATGATGGGGAGTTAGGGTCAAGATTGGGCTTCTTTAGAATTGGGGTTACAGTTGCATGTTTGAAGGGCAATGGAAATATACCAGAGGAGAGAGAGAGATTGAGAATTTTAGTGAGAGGTGGAGAAAGAGAAGAAGACAGAGTACGGCTGAGATGCGATGGAATTGGATCTAGGGAGCAGGTGGTGGGGCGGGAGGACTGGAGCAGAGCAGAAACTTCTTCCAATGTAGCAGGTGCGAATGAACATAGAACAGCAGAGAGAGTGAAGTTAGGGGAAGTATTATAAGGGGAAGAAGAAAGATGAGATATCTCTTCTCTGATTGTAGAGATCTTGTCAGTGAAGTGAGTTGCAAAGTCTGAGGCGGTCAAGTTAGTAGGTGGAGGAGGAACAGCAAGGCGAAGAAGAGTTAAATGTGTAAAATAGTCGTTTGGGTTCGCAGGAGAGTGTGGTTATGAGGGTATTGAAGTAATTAACTTTTGCAGAGGAAAGAGCCAAGCTGTATGAGTTCAGCATAAATTTATAGTGGAGAAAGTCAGATGCACAGTGAGACTTTCTCCAACAGCGTTCAGCATTTTTGGAGGTATCGAGTGAGCTTGGTGTGCCAGGGTTGTTGTTGGGGGGCCTGCAGTGTTTAAATGTGCAAGGTGCCATGATGTCTAGTTGAGAGGAGAAGGTGGAATTGTAGAAGGAGGATGCAGAACTCGGACAGGTGAGGTTTGAGATAGGTAAAAGGAAAGTTTGGAGATTAGTGGAGAAATGCTCTAGGTCAAGACATTGGAGGTTTCTGTGAGAGTGATTGTAACGGCACCCTCAGCATAAAAGGGTTAAACTGCCGTTTAGTAGATCTTCCCTTTCAGAGACACAGGCACAGCTACTGCAGAACACCAATCCGCCAAACGTTAAACCATATGAATGCTGTAAACAGCTGAATAGGAAAAACCATACGAATAGGTTTAAACTCCTAGCAGTCGAACTGGAACAGCATACATTAAATCCCCCCAAGAACGAGACAAAGCTCCGTGTTGAGGGTCAAGCAGTGAACAGACAGAGCTGTGGGTTTATTGTGCTTATGTACACATTCTTACACATTAGTACCACCCATAGGGTTTTGGAACACAAACAATAAACACATACAATACACTCAGACACTCCCACACAAATTCATCCCCTCTGCTTGTGATTCAATTACCTTACACAATGGGTAATGTAATTTAGCACAAGCAGAGAAATACAAATTTTCCACATTATTCATAACTTGAAAAGTATGCATCACATTTTCAGAATCAGCATACTCCAAATACAAACATACGTCAAAATCATACAAATTGGTCCAGTGGTTCAAAAGTTAGATCGTAGTCCTTTGTGACCACAGGAAGCATGTCTTTTCTGCCAAAAACCAGTTCCACAGAGTCTTCTATCCTGGAGATAATTGTAAAGTAATCCAATTATCTCCAAAGACAGAGGCAAAACTCCATTGAACACATGGCAGCAAAAAGACAGTAAAATACAATAAAATACACAAGGTTACATTTATGACATAAAATACAGACATGCAACATATCCCCAGATAGCTCAGATCTGAGCGCACATTATTACTGAATGGCACTCAGAGCACACACATACAGTTCAATTGCCATGGAGCCAAAGTCTTTCCCATAGTCTTTCATTATACGAATGGGCTCCATGGTATAAATACTTACAAAAACATAACATACAGGGATATAATTTCTAATTAGTGGGGTAATAGCTGATTGATCCAAGGAGACATCTGACTGCTATTTTGGGGTCAAGAAGGAATTTTTTCTTAGTTTGTGGCAAAATTGGAAGTGCTTCAGACCAGGTTTTTTGCCTTCTTTTGGATCAACAGCAACAACATTTCTGAGGAAGGCTGAACTTGATGGACGCAAGTCTCTTTTCAGCTATGTAACTATGTAACTATGTAACTATGTATAGCTATCTGGGGTATCACCGCTCAAACAGGGCAAGCACTAAATGACCCGGCTTTCTTGTCTTTGCAGGGGAAAAAATCAAGCCTTTTAACATGGGGCCATACTCCAAAGGCAACAGGCGAGCAACCAGGCTTCTCCAATGCAATGTGGCGAGATTGCTCCCGTCACAGTGATGTTCAGACGGTGGTGTCAATTGGGTCTTAGGTATGCCAATGTCAAAAGTCAGCAGATGGTGGTCAGATAGAGGAAGGGGAATATTGGAGAGATTAGAGGCAGTACAGAGGTTGGTGAAGGCAAGATCAAGAGTGTTTCCTGCAGTATGGGTTGCTAGATTGGACCATTGTGCAAGGCCAAAGGAGGAGGTTACAGAGAGCAGACGAGAGGCATCAGCGCAATTGGGGTTATTGATTGGGATATTGAAATCCCCAAGTATAAGGGAAGGAGTGCTAGATGAAAGGAAGTGGGGAAGCCAGGAAGAAAAGTGCTCAATGAATAGTCTAGGATAACCGGGGGAGCGGTAGATAATAGCAATTCTTAAAGGAGTGGGGTTAAATAGGCGGACAGTGTGAACTTCAACAGAAAAAAAGGATAAGGCAGGGGCAGTTATGATTGGTTGAAAGGTACATTGAGGGGAGAGAAGGATGCCTACGCCGCCTCCTTTACAGTTGAGTATAGGAGTGTGAGAGAATTGTAGCCCACCAAAACATAAAGAGGCAGGAGTAGCGCTATCAGAGGGGGACAGCCAGGTCTCTGTAAGTGCAAGCAGTGTGAGTGAGTTTGAGATGAAAAAGTCGTGTATGGTTGTTGATTTTGAAATTACTGCAGATGGAGCGGGCATTCCAGAGTGCGCACTGAATGTTGGTAAGTGAGGGTAAAGGGCAGGGTATTGTGATGAGGTTTGTGGGGTTTCTGGTTGTCTTAGTGTGTGTAGAGAAGGTGAAGGGCCCTGGATTGGGAGAGACATCACCAGCTGCTAGAAGTAGGAGGAGAGAAAGTGACAGGAGGTGTGAATGGGTTTTGTATGCATGGGGTCTAGGATGACATCGATTGTGGGTTGGAGTGAGAGAGTAGAAAAATGAGTGTAAGGCATGAGATGAGAGAAGGGGGAGTGTAGCAGAGAAGGGCATATGTAAATGTGGATGGGGGGATGAGTGAAGTGGGTGTAAGGAGATATTTTTATACTGAGGGAGACTGAGGAAATAAAGAGGAGGAGAAAACAGATCATTGCTAAACTGTGAAAAATAAAAACTGGAGATAATTGGAATATCAAGAGCAGGTTAAGAAAGTGCAGGAGTGTACTAAGAGGCAGGTTTTTTTTAACCTAACTAAAATGTAGGTGTGACAATAAATGTAATAATGAGCATGGGGTGGGGAGGGTGGGCATCAGGCTTGCTCACTGAAGGAATGGGCTTGCAAAGTCGGGGAATCAGGCTTTGCAGACGATCAGGCTTGCTCACTGAAGGAATAGGCTTGCAAAGTCAGGGAATCAGGCTTTGCAGACGATCAGGCTTGCTCACTGAAGGAATGGGCTTGCAAAGTTGGGGAATCAGGCTGTTGAATAAAGAGATGTGAGGGTCAGAGAGCTTGCAATAAAGTTAAGGGAGGGGGAAATGTATCTAGGTACAGATATGAAGAGATGGATATTCAAATAAAAACAAACATATCAATAAGAAAAGGGAGGGGTCAGAGGTCAGTCACAAATCAGAGGGGAAATAGAGGAATTTATATAGGTGAATAAAACAGTTACATACAGGGCTAGCATATGGTGCAAATAGTTGTTCTCCGGGGATCTATATCTAGGAAAAAACAAATAAAACCACAATAGTGTACACCGTAATATATAGTGTAAAACACAATAAAAAAGATAAAAGACCTACTCACATGTTCCAGAGAAAAATGTGGTTTGCTCAATCCAGTGCGCTTAGGTGGTATTATCCCCACTAAGCATATTGTTCAAAAGATCCAGCAGCAATAGGTCCAATAAAAAAAGTATTTTAATATAAAAAACAGTAAAACAGTAGCATGATAAAAATACAGTATAAAAATGTGAGACTATAATAGACACTAGTGATATTCCTGGGTCTGCATTACACACATACTGATAGTATTAGGTCTATATTATAGTGTAGGTATATATCTAGTCTATATTACAGTCCAGTGATAGCCCTGATTTATATTACAATCAAGTGTTAGGGTCTGGTCTATATACCAGTCTAGGGATATTCTTGGTCTACATTAAAGGGGCACTATAGTCACCAGAACAACTACAGCTCAATGTAAACACTGCCTTTTCAGAGAAGAGCCAGCTGGTATAGATGTTCCCTACAATCATGAGACAAGGCTCTGTGTTGAAGGTGAAGTTGAACTGTTTAATGGCAGCCACAACTGGCCTTATATGCAAATCCTCATGCGTGTGCTGCTTGTATATTCGTTTTCCATAACATATCCCAGGGGCATTCCCCACTGTACCTGAGAGGGGACTGTGACAAAGTACACACTGTAATTACTTTGGCTCTCAGGTCCAGGACACTCCCACACAAAACAGCATAATTCCTCCCCTGTGCCTAAGAGATAATTCAATTAACTCCAGGCACAGAAAAC